TGTCTTCCAAATTTCTTGGCATAGATGTGTGAGTGCCTCCTGTGCCGCCTGACTTTCTTGAAAGATTTCAATTTTTATTCCTTCAATTCCTGGTGTCTTATTCTTTGCCAATCCCTTCAATGCACTTTGGACTTCTTCCTTCAGTATTGTTGGCTCTTGATCATATGCTACCTTTTGAAACGGTTGAACATCCACCATTTCCTTTTGGTTCAGTGACTCGATGTATTCCTCCCATCTTCTTTTGATGCTTTGTGTATCATTCAATAATTCAATTATTGAATGTAATATTAACTGCTCCCCCATTTTTGTTACAAAACTTCTATCTTTACAACTGTGACAGTCGCGATTAGTCATAACAATTACTCACTATTGAATCATAAGAATCTTATCCCCATCTCTTTTAACCAGACCCATCTAGACAAGATGAAAACTATTCAGTGGGGAGTCTGTCTTCCCACACACACTCTTAAACTAAACTCCCTCTTGAAACCTTGAAAGCCAGTCTCTTCGTGCCTTTATCACCCCCTCATTTTAGGTAGACAATGTCTAAGTTGTCCGTCCCTATCTACCCTGCATATAGAGGGGATATAATATTGATACTTGATGTGAAGACTCCTTCCCTCTCTGTTGGTATTTTGAGCTACTACCTCCATGAGTATAGGTCAAGTTCATCATTGTAGCAACAATTTACTTCATTTCCTTTATCAAAAAAAAATATATACATATCTTTTATCTTCCTCTAGTCGAGTTCTGATTATCAAGGCTAGGTCAAATGGGTACTATGTGCAAGTTTGAGTGTTTTTGTGAATCTTCCCTCATTTAATATCAGCTGGATGCTTTACTCTCAATTCTAGCCCTCCATGGCTATATTCTTGTCCATGGGCTCTGGTGTCCTCAGGTCTCACCACACTTTGGACCAACCAGCCTTTTCTCTTCTCTCTCTCATATCCAGGTCAATGGGAGTCTATGGAATGTGGTTGAACTCAGCCCATTTCTTCATTGCTGTCTTTCACCCTCTTCCACTCACCAGTAGACCAATGTGGTCGCCCACAAGCTTACATGCCTGCTCATGTGTTTCCTTTGAGTTTCAGTCTTAGTGGGGAGGGGGCCTGCTTTTTATAAATTCTTTAAACTTCTGTTTATCAGTAAATGTGCTAATTTCACCATAGTATCTGAAGGACAATTTTGCTGGGTATATGATTATTGGTCGGTACTTTTTTTCTTTCAGAGTTTTATATATGTCACCCAATTGTCTTCTTGCCTGTATGGTTACTGCTGAGAAATCAGAGCTTCATCTTATTGGTTTTCCTTTGTAGGTAATTTTTCATTTTGCCGAACTGCTCTCAGGATTCCCTTCTTGTCTTTGGTTTAGGCAAGTTTGATTATAATATTGGTGATTTTCTTTTGAGGTCTTTGCAGTTGTTAAGTGCCACTGTGTTGGTTCCAACTCAACAGTGACCCTCAGCACAACAAAATGAACCACTGCCCAGTCCTACACCATCCTCACAAGTGTTGCTGTGTTTGAATCCATTACTGCTGCCATCTCATTAGGGGTCTTCTTCTTTTTTGCTGACCCTATATTTTCCCAAATGTGATGTTCTTCTTCAGAGACTGGTTCCTCCTGATGACGTCTGAAGTAGGAGAGATGAAGTCCTGCCATGCTGGCTCATAAGGAGCATTCTGGCTGTACTGCTTCCAACACAGATTTTGTTCTTTTTGCAGTCCATAGTACTTTAATATTCTGCTCCGACACCGTAATTCAAATGCATCGATTCTTCTATGGTCTTCCTTATTCATTGTCCAACTTCCACATGCATACGAGGTGATTTTGAAGTCTATTATTTTTTAATTTAATTTTTCCATGAACATTTTGAAGCCCCCTCATAAATGAAAAATTAAAACACCCACTTTCATTGAGTTGATTCTGATTTATAGCGACCTGATTGGACAGAGTAGAACTGATTCCTTTGAGTTTCAGATACTGTAAACCTTCACGGGAGGAGACAGCTTTTTTTCTGTGGAGCAGCCTGTGGGAATCAGTCCAGTGATTATCCCACGCTGCACTAGGGATCTTTAAATATAAAATATGTGATTTATGAACTTTGGCAAAGGTGTTTGTTCAAGATGCCTACCTTTGGAGCCCACCCCTCAGAGGTGAAGTCTGAAGTGAGGTAAAAATATACCTTTTGACCAGTTCTGAAGGGTAACTGTGATGTGAAGGTGCAAGTGAGCCCTGTGGCGAGTGAGGCATCATTGAAGGCAGAGCTGTGTGGTAGGAGAGCTGAACTGTGAAGGGTGGGAAATGGAGAGCAGAGACACTAGAAGGCTGTGTGGTAGGGGAGCTGAACTGTGAAGGGTGGGAAATGGAGAGCAGAGACACCAGAAGGCTGTGTGGTAGAGTTGCTGAACTGTGAAGGGTGGGAAATGGAGAGCAGAGACACTAGAAGGCTGAGGCTATGGAGGCAAGTATGGACATCAGGAAATCACTTAGTAATCTCAACGAACAGCACCATTTCCAAGTGTGTTCTTTCATTTCCCATCTCGTTGCTTAATGAGGTGACAGAACAGATAAAACACATTGACTATCTAATAACTACAAATAAGGAGCTCTGGTTACGAATCGGGCTGCGAACCTTAAGGTCAGCGGTTCGAAACTACCAGCCGCTCCGCGGGAGAAAGATGAGGCTTTCTACTCCCGTAAGGATTTACACCCTCGGAAACCCTGTACAGGGTCGCTATGGGTCGGAACCGACTCGACGGCACTTAACAACAACAACAACATCATAGAAGAGCTGATACCCTGTATATCTGGACACGTTTTGGGGGAGACAGATTTAGCAACAATGAGAACAACTGTAACAAAGTGAGTTTTGGTGACAGAATCATATTAAAATCCATCGTCTTTCCTCATATTCTTTTCTCGTGGAAAGCTCTGAGACATCTGCTATTGACCTAATGGGAACATGTGGAATTTCCCATCTTGGCTGCATGCTACATGGATTTCTGGGACAGCATAAACTAGCTGATGTTCAAAGGCTTTAAGCCAGCAGTAATTTGTTAACCAAGAACACATAAAGAGCCCTGGTGGCACTGTGGGCGACTAACCACAAGGCTGGTAGTTCAAACCCACCAACTGCCCTATAGAAGAAAGATGAGACTGTCTGCTCCTGTGACATTTTATAGTCCTGGGCACTACACAGGGTCATTATGCATCAGAATTGACTCGAGGGCAGTAGGTTGGTTGGTTGGTATGGTCACACAGAACCATTTTATTGAGTTGATACGTCTCATAAATTTTACTTTCTATTTTTAGTTGTACTATTTTTAGAGTGAAAATAAAATAATCTAAGATTCATATAATATTTTGTATCTTCTAAATATTATATTTTTAGGACTTCTGATGTGGTGCTGTGGATCAGCACTGGACTGTGAACCACAAGGCCAACATTTCAAACCTACCAGCTGCTCCTAGGAAGCTGTATACAGGGTCGCTATGAGTCAGAATCGATTAGACGGGCAGCACTTAACACATATTATATTTATGGAGATCTGGTAGCATAGTGGTTATGAGTTGGCTTGCTAACCTCAAGGTCAGCAGTTCGAAACTATCAGCTGTTCCACGGGAGAAAGATGAGGCTTTCCGCTCCCATAAAGGTTTACAACCTTGGAAACCCTGTACAGGGTCGCTATGAGTCAGAACCGACTCCACCACCACCATGCATTATATTTAGTGTGTTTGGAGGTAGGCATACAGTCATAAAAGGCAGAAACCCTTCTGAAATTCAAGTCTACTTCATAGTTAACATTTCAATAGGGGACAAAAACCTGAATACTCTCCTTTGGTATCTAATTGGTTAGGAAAATCTAAAAGTTTCCAACTGGGGCAAATTTTTAGGAATTTAAAAAATATCATTAGGTAAAAACAAAAATTTTGCCATCCACCAACCACCACTGAGTCAATTCTAGCTTACAGTAACCCTATGTTGTTGGTAAGTGCCGCTGAGTCAGTTCAGACTCACAGTGACACTGTATAGAGTTTTTGAGGAGCAGCTAGTGAGTTTGAACCACTGACCTTGTGGTTTAAACTGACCTTGCAGTTCTGCGAATTATCCCACAGTGCCACTAACTACTCCTTAAGGTTTTCAAGACTTAGATCTTTACAGGAAAAGAGAGTTTCATCTTTTTCCTGCAGAGTGATTGGCGGGTTTGAACTGCCAGCCTTCCAGGTAGCAGCCCAATGCTAACTCAAAGTGCCATTAGAGCTGCTTCAAAAATCTTAAGGCAGTTCTAATAACTACAAATAAGGAGCTCTGGTAGAGTAGTGGTTACAAATCGGGCTGCGAGCCGCAAGGTCAGCAGTTCGAAACTACCAGCAGTTCTGTGGGAGACAGATGAGGCGGTCTGCTCCCGTAAAAATTTACAGCCTCGGAAGCCCTGTGTAGGGTCGCTATGAGTCGGAACCGACTCCATGGCACATAACAACAACAACTAGACATATGTTATCATATAAAGTTATATTGAACACAAAACATCTTTCTGCAATCTCAGGTTTTTGATTCATATAGCATAAATGGAAAACCATAGTTTTGGAAAGAACCAAAACTTCTTGTTCAGCTATATAAATTGTAATTGTGTTTCATTCAGTGAGGTAAATTATGTATCTAACCACCTTTTTTAGAAATCTCTCAGATTCACAAGGATCACAATTCCTATCATAAAAGCACATGCAACTGTATCTCTCCCGGCTACACAATGTAGCCAACAGTGCTGAAGAATCTAAGTAATTCCTCATGAAATTCCTCAGTTAGAAGCCCAAATTTAAAATGTAATGCTTGGAACTGAATCTATAGGATTAATCAATCTCTAGAAATCCACCTTTTTTGCTGGAAAAATCTTATAAAAGAGAAACATACATTTGTATTATAGATGAAGACAAATTAATACCCATTGTTGCTGAAATTCTTCAATCACAGGATATGAAATCAAGCAGTTTCTCTTACTTTGGTCCTGAATTCAGTGGACGCTCCAAATCCAAAGAGAAATCGCACGACATCATTATGGCCTTGTTGGGCAGCAAAGAACAGGGCAGTGGTACCTGACTGGGAGAGGCAGAGGCAGAGGCTGATTTTTAAAAGACATTTGGTTACATTACACTTGATTTACATATTTGCAAAGAAAACAAAACAAATCAGTATTCTAACATAGAATCTTTTTAGGGTAGGAATTGGCTACATTTGAGCCAACTCTTTTCCTTGGGTCAGAGAGGTGTTGAAATGAAAGGAACACTTGATTCTTGGTGCAGTGGACTTAAAGGTGATTTCAACATCTATGCCCATGTCCTAATGGCTGGAATTTGTGACTGTTACTGTTAATGGCAAAAGATGTCATTGAGGATTTTGAGAGAAGGAGCTTATTCTGGATTATCCAGGTGGGCCTTAAAATCCAATGACAAGTGTCCTTATAAGAAAGAGGCAAAGGAAGACTGGACACACAGAAGAGGAAGAGGACAGAGAAATGTGATCACTGAGGCAAATATTGGAGTGATGTGGCCACAAATCGAGGAACTCCAAAGGCCACCTTAAAATGAAGGATTTGCTTCTGGAACCTCCAAAGGAAGTATGGTCCTTATGAGAGTTGTCTCCAGGACTGAGAGAATGCATTTATGTGGTTTTAAGGCATCCAGTTTGTGGTGATTTGTTAGAGCAGTCGCAGGAAACAAATACATTTGGCATAGTGTTTGGGAGCCACTCACATTCAATACAGAGAAGATTTCTGGGTACAGTTTCGAATAGAAAACAACCAGTGTGCGAAAGCACATTAATTCACTCACAAACTTCTCCAGTTGTGAGTCCAGTGCAAAAATGATCTCAAAATACTTCTCAAATAGGGTTGTATCAACAAACGGCAGTCTGAATCTGAACTTTAAACAGATCGTGATGTTGAGACAATTCTTTTTGTTTTTTTAAACTTTTGGTTGTAAACTGAATGAACGTTAACAGACAAGACCATCAGCTTTACTTTCAATCACTCATACATTCTGTTTCATCTAAATGATTACAATCCCCTCCCTGCACAACAGTTATCTTGCTTCCTTCCCAAGGCTTCCCTTTTACATCTTATTTTTCACATCAACAAAGCAAAAATGTTGGATGTATACATACAAAACAAACATATATATATTCATTTAAATGTTCAAAGGGCACATTCTGTATGCTAGCCTACTGCCAGCGGGCACACAGCCTTTCTCAGAGATGATTCTTAATATTATTTCTTCCCATCACTTACAATCCTACTCCAGGATTGGTACCCACAGCATAGATGTGGTAATATGAACAAAATCACCATACCACTCTGGTAGGCAATTTCTATTATTCATCTGAAAGAGTCTCTTCACTACCGTCCTTTACCTTTTCTATAGTTTTCTTGGGACCATTAAGGTGGTTGGATCATACCCAGGTTTAAAGATCACTGTAATGTTTGTTCTTAAGGTTGCATGTGGGGTGAAGGAGGCATGTTGTAGATTAAATTATGTCCTCTGAGAAGTTACCTTGAAGGCCTGACTCCTAGCATCTGCATATATGACCTTGTTTGGAAATAGGGTCTTTGAAGATGTTATCAGTTAACATGGAGTCATAAAGGAGTTAAGATGGGTCCTAATAGAATCTGCGTGGTGTATTTATAAAAGAGAAGAGACACAGAGATAGAGGGAAGACAGAGTTATGTTGTAACCCAGCAAAGGAATGCCTGGGGCTACCAGAAGTTTGAAAAGACAAAGAAGGACCTTCCCCTTGCGCTCCTGGAGCCAGCACTGTCCTAAATTCAGACTGGTGTTAACTGCTGTCAAGTCAACCCCCAATTCACGGTGGCCTTACGAACAGTGGAACAAAATTCTTCCTAGTCCTGTGCCATTCCCGAGATCGGTTGCTGATTGGATTGCTCTGGTCCATAGGGTTTTTCACTGGCTAGTTTTCAGAAGTAGATTACCAGGACTTTCTTCCTAGTCCATCATCTTAAGAGTGGAAGCTCCCATGATACCTGTTCGGCCAGTCTCCATTTACAAAAAGGTGGAGGTGACTACGAAATGCATTGGTTGAGAATTGAACCTGGGTCTCCCATGTAGAACACGAGAATCTACCACTGAACCACAAATGCCTCCAAACTCAAGACTATTAAAACAAGTCTTCTAAACTGTGAGACAATATATTTCTGTACTAATAAACCACCCAGTTTGTAATCCTTTGTTACAGCAACCTTAAGAAACGGATACCAGGAGCAATGAGGCAGACCACTGGGACAGAACTTACAACATCTTCCCAGGAAGAACCCTCTGTCTTCAGCCATGCCTCGACCAGTCTCTGCCCCAGGAGGATGTGGACTATGTGGTCCTTTGCAGAGCATGGTGCCTCCAAGGCAGAAGTGATGTTTTCATTGGCTGCCACAGAAGACAGTGGACAGCATCCTCCCACTGCTCTCTCGCAGCAGAGGACCCAGGGTTCCAGAAACCTCAGTATGTAAACAGTCTGAATGAAGAAACTTGGCTAGAATAAGAACATGCATCCTCTGAACAGACATTAAAGTTCTGAGATGGTTGTTGCTGTTAAATGTCATCAAGTCGGTTCTGACTAATAGCAACCTATATTGGGTTTGCAAGGAACAGCTGCTGAGTTTGAACCACGGACCTTACAGTTAGCAGTCCAGTGCTGATCCTACAGTGTCACACTAGGACTCTAAATTTAGACACTTGTTGTTAAGTGCTGTTGAGTCAGTTCCGACCCACAGTGATCCTGCACAGGGTTTCTGAGGCGTGGCTGGTGAGTTTGAACCACTAACCTTGTGGTTGAAACTGACCTTGAGGTCGAGTGCCACACCAGGACTTCAAATTTAGAGACTACCAAGGATCATTTCCAGAACTTGTTTGTTTATTAAGAGAACAGATTTGTTTGTCAATACATTTTCTTGATAGAGTAATTCTAAAAAATCATACTCACAGGAGTTTGAGCCACTTTTATAGCTTATATACAATCAATTAAGGAGCCCTGTGGGGCTGTGGGTTAGGTGTTGGACTGCTAACCACAAGGCCGGCATTTTAAATGTACCAGCCACTCTGAGGGAGAAAGGTGAGGCAGTCTGCACCCGTAGAGATTTAGTCTCAGGAATCCTGCATAAGGTATTTATGAGTCAGAATCAACTAGATGGAAGTGGGCCTGGTTTGGAATATACTGCCAATCATTATGAGCATTCATGCAGCAATCTGTAGACATAGGAGCTGGTCTTCCTTTTGAATGTGAGTGACGGTCTTAAATGCATGTACTTTGCAGCGAAACACAGTGCTTCATGCCAACTGTATCTGCAGCTCCTTCACTGGAAGCTATCATCAACCAATACTGTTGGCTTTCTGAAGCAGTGGTCTCTCAGAACCATTAGCTTCCAGCAAGTTCTGTGTGTACAGACAGTCAACTTTAGAAAGCAATGGCAAATCCTCTTTCAGGAAACAAATATGATACTGCAAAATGGATTAAGAATGAACCAAAGTAAAAGTCTGGTATAAGAGTAAATTCCAAAGCCTGGTTAGTCATTCTCTTTCTGCTTCCCAAACAGGTGAGGTGAGATTGTGGGTTCCCTAAACTCAGTAATTCCACAGCCCCAGAGTGGTATGGTCTCTGGAAATTCAGGGGATCACTGGGAATTTACATAGCATCACATTGAGCCATACTGGTAGGCTTTAATCTGGGATGACTTAGGGTAAATCCTCAATGACCAATGTTCTTAGTGTACTAGAGTTTGACATCTTCAAAAACATGAGCTGAGCACTTGGAACCAAACAAATTAGTATAAAATCATAAACTGGGTGCTGGGGAGGGGGCAACATACAGGTAGGGAGAGGAGAATGGAAGAACAAAGCAGATGAGAGAACAATTAGACAGATCTCCATGGACTAAGTGGGACAGAGATAAACAATGATATATGCGCAACCTTGGAACAACAGGGTTCTGGGATACAGAGATTGAGCCATGGTTGGAATGGGGAAAAGGGGGGAATAATGTTAAGATGCTTGGCTGTCTTTTGAATCTTGGTTTTCCTTGCATTATATTATAAAATAGACACTGGAG